TTTATTATTTAGAATATAAGTAATGAGAACAGGGAAGACATATTGTCGGTATACGTCGGGGAAATGCGGCGAAAGTAAAATGACATGATATTCTACATGTAAACCTCCCAAACCTTATACTCTAGACAGAAACTGATCTGTGTAGACATCAATCTTTAGCTCAAGTTGTAACAACTAGATGTGGCAACCCTGGCTCTTGGCTAGAGTTTCAGCGTCAAAACTATCTAACAGTACATCGACTAAACCTTGTCTGCGAATTCATTAACCTTCTATTCTCTACACTGATATACCTGGAACCCTCTCCAAGTAGTTTTGCCACACCCTAGAAGTAGGTGAATAATCTACGACTAAAGTTACCAGGAGAGTTTGAAACGGAGAAAACGTGAGAGTAGAACGTAAAATTCGCAAAAAAATCATTTTACTGGCGATGTCAAAACAGGGCAATTTTCTATTCGGTACACAATATATTTACGAGTAAAACCCGGCCTGAATATAAAAAACTAATTCAGCTTACAGGTTATACCATCAAAAGGAGTAAACTTACTATAATGGCTTACAATAGTAACCCAGAGAGCTCGAGATCACAGTCTGATCATGGACATTGAATATGAGAGTAAAAGATTAAATTCATGACATAACATAAATGTTAGTGGTAGTTTTTTTTAAACAGGGCAAAATATGTTTCGGGAACACAATAGAATTACACGAAAAATTTCGGCCTAAAATTTCAATGTTTATCAACTGAAATAGTGAGCAATTTATATAGAAATGATAAACACAAAACATTTATTAATACTAATAGAGATTAGACTTTAGAGACTCAGACTTTAAATTTAGGTCGCCACGAATTTTGTAACCATAGTAACAGTATGTCACGTGTTCAATATGAGCCAATCATGCACCATCTGCGTGATATACCTTAAGAACGACAAATTTAGTCTACCATAAATTTAGTCAAACTTTTGACTAAAATTGTTGTAAACCAAATTTCATGAGACTAATTTTTTCGGCGACCAATTTTAAAGGAGACCAAAATTTCAGTAAAGCATATATGACATGAATATCATTGAGCTTACATTGTTTATAAATAATATAATGACATCACCGTTCCTACTGCTGAACAACTTTTTTGGGAGGAAAGACCGTTGTGAAACTAAGAAGCACAAAACCGTACCAAAGTCCTATTGCACTTAAAGTGTTCTAGAGCTCCTCTTGTACATTACATCTTAAATCGATCCATCCCTACATGTTCAGTTGGACCGGCTGAAGGATCATATAGACATAAACTACTCGTACCGACTGAAATGGTAAAGTCGAAAAAGGGTGAAAAAGAAACCGAACAGCGTACTGAAGAACTTAGTGATACAGAGTCACAGCTACTCAGGATCTGATGTTAATGAAATTCCTGAGTAATGCATTGCAGCTTAATCTGTTATGCTCAGACGGGTGCTCATTGCCGAATTAATAGATAGCATTTTATGTTACAAATTATTTTATTTTTTTTGTTATTTATTACAGTCTCTCATCTAATATATGCTCACTGTGGAATGTTCCCAGACCACCCGCTGATAATAGCTGCAGTTGAGATGAACCCAATTACTACGGATCAAGGAGCAAGAAGTGAGAAGCAAGGAGCCAGCAAAAAGGGGAAATGAGTAAGGAGCGAGAACAAGGAGTGAGCAACCTTGTCATTCGTCATATTTGTTCTGGTGTCCAGTTTCACACAAATGAATCAATACCTTCCACGACCCACGTGTAAAAAGTTACGAAGTCTATAAAAAAATGGAGAGGACGTCACTTACAAATATTAAATCACGACAAGAAATAATAAATGTTGACTTTACTTTCAATAATCACTGCATGATAAATATAATATTTGTGAAAGTTTAGATCAAATCACATCAATCATGAATAAATCATAGAACCTTAAATAAGCTTGCAAATACAAGCATCTAAAATTTCCGACTTTGTTGGCACTTGGCATATCAATAAAAAATCCAGACTGGCGAGTAAGCTCTTTAGAAGCTGCAACTTATACCGGTACAGTGCAGCTCAAGCTGTTCCATATTTAAACTTTAATTGCAGCGGCTACTGCATTCTTGATTTTTGCATAGTAACACCTACCAGGCGCGTGATAAAAAGGTTGAGAACCTCTTTTTAGAGTAGCAGAAAAGTCACAATTCAATTAGTATTACGGGGACTTCATTTTAATTTGCAGTTAACAATCTGTGCTATCTATAAGGTAGTGGTTGTGGTATATCATGTATAATACTCCTTGATCAATATAGTCAGTGATGATGTAGTATGTGATGGTGTAGTATATGATGGTGTAGTATGTGACCTTTAAACATCAGTTTAAGCTGCTCCCTATAATAAAGCTCTTCAAGAAATAAAATCTACCCATTTTGCAGAACATTTAATTGGGTAAATGAAAAGATCGCGTTTGCCAGAAACGTTTATATTAACGTTTATATTAAAAACATTTTGTTTGTGACGCAGGTTTGCCTGATCAGTTAAACGAAGCAACAGAGTTGGTTAAAGTGAGTCTCGGTAAAGCATGAGCTCAAGGTTATCTCGCTCTATAACGGAGAATTTCAGCTAATTTCTTATAAAATAGTGACCATGGCAACACCACAATGCTTGAGACTGTATATCCATGGCGATTTAGATTAATCTCAGATTTTTGGGCGAGTTTTACGATACAAAGACAGTAATCGAAATATCAGGGTAAATTAGCTCTACGGCTACCTGAAAATTTGAAAGATTTGATTAAATGAGAAACAGTATTGCACTTATTAGTCACTGTCGATCTATTTAATAGATCTTATTAGTTAATATATCACATTGCAAATATTTAAAGTTAAGATCAAGGAAAATGAATGGGCTACATATTTATAATTTAGTGCTAAAATATTCAGTAGTATAAAAGTAAGGGACATATGACATCAAGACACAAATTGTAAAGTTGATGAATAGTAATATTAAGACAGACAAATATATTCTGTATATTAAGTATTATATCTAATGATAATCGTACTTGATGCAAATACTGAGGGACTAGTATACTGCTTGATAACTCGTTAGGACTAAGATAGCTTAACAGTATTCGTGACATATAAATCGTGACATATAAATCGCAATATGAATGAGGACTATTTGGAGCACTTAAAGAGTGATTAATAATTTATAAGGCTGACCAATTATTATTTAGAGTGTTTCGATTAACAGTATCTAAATTTTAAGTAATTAAAAATATCAAATAACCGACGAAACTTGACAAAGTTAAGAACTACAAGAAGGTTTCTGTACTACCACACGTGTAATCTAATAACAAATATATATGTTAATTAATTATACATAATACAAGAGGAGACGTCGCTACAAGCTAAACGTGTCATCTTATAACTAATACATCAGTTAATTAATTAATTAATTATACTAGCGGAGACGTCGCTACAAGCAACCAAATACCATATAGACAGGACCCTGCTAAGATCTTAGTTCACAGACTGGAGCTGACTATGGGAGGTTGTTACTAGAGTTGTACACAGGAAGTTGTTATTAAGTACAACGGATCATTGGTCTGGTAATTCCTGTCAGGTATTGAGAGGATCAACAAGAACTAGGCTTCTGTACTACCACACCAAGTAGGGTGTGTTCAGAGGTTATTTTAATACTTCTTTTGTTGTTATTTCTTCAATAATAACTATTATATCTCTGTGTGGGGCTGATATCATAATTCATAATCAATTTTTGTAGTTACTACTAATTGATTTTGATTTGAAACTTTTACAAAATAGCAAATATACAAATGTACAGCAAGTCGAACAAACATATAAAATGGGCCGAAATGTATAAATGCTATAAAGCGTGGGTCAGTGAAACAAGTACAGAGGACAACTATCAAAACAGGAGTTTTATGGCCGCCCAAAGTCTCAATAACATCACCTCCACCTAGTAATAAAATTATGAAATATGAAAAGTGTGAAACAATCAAATAATAAAATATTCAAAATATATAGTTGTCTCTTAAATACAGATAACGTCTGAAAATTCTTAAAATAATCATCACTCCTTCATATACTGATCAGTGTCCGAGAGTGTAACTCATGGTGACTTCTTATCACGGCTACATACCTTCCCGTACCGGATGTAGTGGTCGAGATGAGTCTGTTCCGCCCTCTTCTTCTTCAGGTCAGTGACCAGATGCTTCCTTGTTGCTCGTTCTTCGCTGGATCTGTCTGGACATATCCATACATCTTTGTGCGTCTCCCTCAGTCTCCCTGTTTCCATCAGAATCTGATGAACCGCTGTTGAGCTAGGGACGGTGATCTTGACTGGTCGGATAGCCGTACTACCTGGCCTCTTCCAACCGACTCTAGTCGCTTCGAAGTGAGGTTTCTCCCCGATCTCCTCCAAAACTGCAGTAACTAGCGCTGGAAGCTGTTCTTCCTCCTCTTCTTTCAGTCCAAACACGATCAGGTTCTTGCTCCTGTCCTCCTCTGCAGCCACACTCTTCATCACCTTCTTCAGGATTTTACTGTTGCAGACCGTACCACTTGCACTGTTCTGCTGAACTGCTGCACTATAGTTCTGAATCCCTGACTGGACTGTTTCCTCAACAGACGTCTTAAGCAACTGTAGTTGTTCGTCCTTCTGCATCAGCAGCTGGCCCTGCAGTCTGATCACCTTTTCTTTGTCTGCTAGTGCTTCCGTCTTGAAGCACTCGATGATCTCCTTCAATAGATACATCTGACTACTCTGCCGACGAACAAGGTCCACTGCATCCACAATCCAGCCAGACAGAGTCTGTTTATCCTTAGTCTTGATCTTTTCACGACTTTCGTAGTCAATGTCACGGTAGTCAATATGCAGGTCTTTTTCTAACTGATCGGACCAGCGTGCAACACAGCCTTCCTGTTGATCATAGTTGAACTCCTTAATCAACTCCTGGGATCGGGTCAAAGTTGGGTCATCCCCCATAGTGTACTTGTATAGTAATGTACAAGTACACACGCAAAGGTTAACTACGCGGTAGCAGCAAACTGAACTTATTGCAAATTTACAAAAGATAAGAGAGCTCGATATTTGCAACACAAGCTACACTGATTACACGCTACACTAAGTTAGTAAATTACAAAAACTTTAAGTTTCATGATCAAATTCCACTCTTGCTACAATCGAACTCCCAACAAAAGAATACCACGAATATGCGACTGACAATTAAATTTATAGTCCGATCGAACCGTTTAAATGCCGTTTCAATAGCGATACCCAACGAATATTGGTAAGTATGGACTGACATTTAAATAGTAAAATACTAGGATTTAAATTAAAAGTTACCTATTTATTCCGTTTATGGAGCTATGTTGACGATGACAGTATCGGAACAAATCAATGTAAAGTAGTCTGGACATTAACTGAACCGCTGAACGTCAAGCTGGAGTAGTCCGGACATTAACTGAACCGCTGAACGTCAAGCTGGAGTAGTCCGGACATTAACTGAACCGCTGAACGTCAAGCTGGAGTAGTCCGGACATTAACTGAACCGCTGCACGTCAAACTGGAGTAGTCCGGACATTAACTGAACCGCTGAACGTCAAGCTGGAGTAGTCCGGACATTAACTGAACCGCTGAACGTCAAGCTGGAGTAGTCCGGACATTAACTGAACCGCTGGACGTCAAGCTGAAGTAGTCCGGACATTAACTGAACCGCTGAACGTCAAGCTGGAGAAGTCCGGACATTAACTGAACCGCTGAACGCCAAGCTGAAGTAGTCCGGACATTAACTGAACCGCTGAACGCCAAGCTGAAGTAGTCTGGACATTAACTGAACCGCTGAACGTCAAGCTGGAGTAGTCCGGACATTAACTGAACCGCTGGACGTCAAGCTGGAGTAGTCCGGACATTAACTGAACCGCTGAACGTCAAGCTGGAGTAGTCCGGACATTAACTGAACCGCTGAACGTCAAGCTGGAGTAGTCCGGACTTTAACTGAACCGCTGAACGCCAAGCCGGAGTAGTCCTGACATTAACTGAACCGCTGGACGTCAAGCCGGAGTAGTCCGGACATTAACTGAACCGCTGAACGTCAAGCTGGAGTAGTCCGGACATTAACTGAACCGCTGAACGCCAAGCTGGAGTAGTCCAGACATTAACTGAACCGCTGAACGCCAAGCTGGAGTAGTCCGGACATTAACTGAACCGCTGAACGCCAAGCTGGAGTAGTCCGGACATTAACTGAACCGCTGAACGCCAAGCTGGAGTAGTCCGGACATTAACTGAACCGCTGAACGTCAAGCTGGAGTAGTCCGGACATTAACTGAACCGCTAAACGTCAAGCTGGAGTAGTCCGGACATTAACTGAACCGCTGCACGTCAAGCTGGAGTAGTCCGGACATTAACTGAACCGCTGAACGTCAAGCTGGAACGTCAAGAGCTGTAGCGGTGACCGGGTTCTGGAAACTTGTAATTTATACGGCAGGTTGATGTTCCTGCAGAATATATTCAAAGGGATGGCACTGGCAGAGTTGTAGTTGTAAATGGAAGAGTCTTTTAAAAGAGAAGGGGTGTACGAGTTGAATGATAATTAAACGATTAACAAAAACGAGAGATAAGTTAGTCGTTTAAAAAAAAAGACAAAACTTTTAGTACCAAATTTATGATATTTGAATATCATAAATTTGGTACTAAAGGTTTTGTCTCGCCAAGCTGATAAGCTGATAGTGATTACGATTATGGAAAAATAATTTTTAAATAACGGCAAAAATCTAAATTCTTTTATCGGCTTGTAACATGAATATTTAAGCTCAATAGGCTAAGATAAGTTAAAATATGTTGCAAGGAATTAGAAAGGAGAAAACGTTGTATAATAAGTAACAACTACAAGGTATATAAAGGTGTTGCAAGGTGTTACAAGGTGTTACAAGGTGTTACAAGGTGTTACAAGGTATTACAAGGTGTTACAAGAAGAGAGCTTCCAAGCTCGGACACTAACATCTAACAAAGTATTATCCGACCACCCAGCACTAAATCCTCTTCACAAGCAGACGAACATCATCTTCCCACAGGGGAAATAACCCGGACTAACAAGAGAACCGGAGCTGTCGGAGAGGGTTTCCTCATTTCCCAGACCCCTGAGCGGGGAGATGAAACAGAAATGAAGGTGAATTAGGCGGAAAGTTACTGATTTCGGGCCATTTGTTAAGTTTGTGCGGTGGCAGCACGGTTAGAAGTTATGAGTAGGGGGAACAGAGGCAATATCCAGCAATATTTATTAATCTCGCTGCTGGAACTTTTTATCGGAAAACAAACAACCAGTCATGATGAGTTGTCGTGTAGGGATTTTATTTTTTGCAGGAGCAGAACATTGCTACATTGCTAGTGATAAGATAACGTGAGGAATCAATCTCAGGTGATACGAATGAACTTTATCGTGTCCACTATTGATAACATCTAAATTAATTGACTTTTTAGACTGTCTCCCCACCTCGCCAACCGCTGCACAATACTGCGTACAAATAATAGGTTCAACAGAGCTAAACGTTTCTAGAGACCTGAAAACAATGTGAATTGTGAATATAATGACTCATAATATCCATAATTTATGAGGGGTTAAGAAAGCTTTTTGGAAACTGGACACAAGAACGGAGGGCACAAGGGCGGAGGACACGAGGGCAGAGGGCACAAGAACGGAGGGCACAAGGGTAGAGGGCACAAGAACGGAGGACACAAGAACGGAGGACACGAGGGAGGAGGGCACAAGAACGGAGGACACGAGTGCGGAGGGCACAAGGGCAGGGGGCACAAGAACGGAGGACACAAGAACGGAGGACACGAGGGGGGAGGGCACAAGAACGGAGGACACGAGAACGGAGGGCACAAGGGCGGAGGGCACAAGGGCGGTACTTTCCTAAAAGGTGGACTATATACCAGGGCAGATCACATGATACTCACTTTACCTGTCGTATATTCAGCGTTTTATTGTGAGGGTATCTCAGCAACTTCCGGATTGTGAAACTCACCCCAACAATAAAGACCTAGGATCATGAACATGTCATGTGCTTCACTTGGGGGTATGTTAATTACACGAACGACGCTTTTGAGGTACAAATGATTGGGAATGTTTACCTAAATATGGTTAGTATTTATCCTGATAGGAGCTTTATCATTGGTGCAATAAACGGGAACACTACAAATTGTTCCCCAGAATCAAGTAATTTGATTTAACTGAGTTGTGCACTTTAACTTGTACCAAATAAACTGCTGCTCCGCCCCGAGATGACGCACGATATTTTCTTAACCCACTCTAAAACTGGCAGCTTGAATTATTGAACAATTTAACAAATGAAAGAAATTCTCAAGTGCATTTTAAAATGCTATGCAACATGGTGATCAGCAAGGTTGTAAAATACGTGTTTTAAGTTTTTTTGAATTGGAGCGTTTTTACGTTTATTTAACAGGTTTTTGCGTATTTATTTAAAAAACGTTGTGATTTATACGGAAATTTACAATGTTTTGATCACTGATCAGGCGACAGATAATGAGGGCAGGGTAATGAGTAGTACCAAATCCTGGCACTATTTATTTGATGCGAGATACCTTGTATTTGAGTCCAAGTTTTTAAGTTGTAACAGTAAAGATAGTAACATTGATAATGATAGTCACGGAAAACTAAATATACAAACTACGATATAAATATCCATAAAACTAAAAGTAAACCAATATTTAGAATATAAGTAATGAGAACAGGGAAGACATATTGTCGGTATACGTCGGGGAAATGCGGCGAAAGTAAAATGACATGATATTCTACATGTAAACCTCCCAAACCTTATACTCTAGACAGAAACTGATCTGTGTAGACATCAATCTTTAGCTCAAGTTGTAACAACTAGATGTGGCAACCCTGGCTCTTGGCTAGAGTTTCAGCGTCAAAACTATCTAACAGTACATCGACTAAACCTTGTCTGCGAATTCATTAACCTTCTATTCTCTACACTGATATACCTGGAACCCTCTCCAAGTAGTTTTGCCACACCCTAGAAGTAGGTGAATAATCTACGACTAAAGTTACCAGGAGAGTTTGAAACGGAGAAAACGTGAGAGTAGAACGTAAAATTCGCAAAAAAATCATTTTACTGGCGATGTCAAAACAGGGCAATTTTCTATTCGGTACACAATATATTTACGAGTAAAACCCGGCCTGAATATAAAAAACTAATTCAGCTTACAGGTTATACCATCAAAAGGAGTAGACTTATTATAATGGCTTACAATAGTAACCCAGAGAGCTCGAGATCACAGTCTGATCATGGACATTGAATATGAGAGTAAAAGATCAAATTCATAACATAAATGTTAGTGGTAGTTTTTTTTAACAGGGCAAAATATGTTTCGGGAACACAATAGAGTGACACGAAAAATGTTGGCCTAAAATTTCAATGTTTATCAACTGAAATAGTGAGCAATTTATATAGAAATGATAAACACAAAACAGTTAATAATACTAATAGAGATTAGAGACTCAGACTTTAAATTTAGGTCGCCACGAATTTTGTAACCATAGTAACAGTATGTCACGTGATCAATATGAGCCAATCATGCACCAGCTGCGTGATATACCTTAAGAACGACAAATTTAGTCCACCGTAAATTTAGTCAAACTTTAGACTAAAATTGTTGTAAACCAAATTTCATGAGACTAATTTTTTAGGCGACCAATTTTAAAGGAGACCAAAATTTCAGTAGATCATATATGACATGAATATTATTGAGCTTACATTGTTTATAATTAATATAATGACATCACCGTTCCTACTGCTGAACAACTTTGTTGTGAGGAAAGACCGTTGTGAAACTACGAAGCACAAAACCGTACCAAAGTCCTATTGCACTTAATGCGTTCTAGAGCTCCTCTTGGACATTACATCTTTAATCGATCCATCCCTATATGTTCAGTTGGACCGGCTGAAGGATCATATAGACATAAACTACTCGTACCGACTGAAATGGTAAAGCTTCGAAAAAGGGTGAAAAAGAAACCGAACAGCGTACTGAAGAACTTAGTGATACAGAGTCACAGACTCTGGATCTGATGTTATTGAAATTCCTGAGTAATGCATTGCAGCTTAATCTGTAATGCTCAGACGGGTGCTCATTCATGCTGAATTAATGGTTAGCATTTTATTTTACAAATTATTTGTTTTATTTCTTTATTGCAACAAATAATTTAATCAACATGCCTAACGTTAAACTATAAAGTATGACTTTATATGCGAAATCGGGGGAAAAAATGGAAAAATCTAATAAATGGAATGGAAAATGGTCTCAAAAAGTCGAAAAAATGTGACTAAAATTGTTGTAGACTAAAGATTTGCGAAATTTGTGACTAAAATTATGGTAACCAAAATTATTGTTAACCAAATTTATTGGCCCTAAGGTAGGGGATAGGAGGTGAGCTGATACATTCTTTGTATTACTATTGCCGTGGGAATTATTAAAGTGTAGTGTGGAATAATATGAGGATACTGCTGTAGCCGCCGTGTATCAATCATCATAAATATGCATATGGTACACGTGCCAACTGTTGTGCCTTGTATAGTTCATTATCTATTAGTTTTAACTTTCAAGCCGTAAAATTTGACCTTCATCTGTGTGGAAATTTGTATGTTTGTATAGTTTGTAGCGTGTTTGTTCGTTTAACGACAGTTTAAGATGCTACACGTTGGTAGATTGTATCTCGTTCTCGCGAGCTATATTATGTCATATAGCCCGGCGGGCTGAAATGTATGTCATTTGCTCGTGGGCTGTATCATCAGCGGGCTGAGAAATATCGGGCCTTTTACTTGCGGGCTGCGCGGTCCCGCTGTAGCAATGGCCAATGGGTAAGGAGCGAGAACAACGACAAAAATGAAATATTTGTGAAAGTTTAGATCAAATCACATCAATCATGAATAAATCATAGAACCTTAAATAAACTTGCAAATACAAGCATCTAAAATTTCCGCCTTTGTTGGCATATCAATAAAAATCCAGACTGGCGAGTATGCTCTTTAGAAGCTGCAACTTATACCGGTACAGTGCAGCTCAAGCTGTACCATATTTAAACTACTGCATTCTTGATTTTTGCATAGTAACACCTACCAGGCGCGTGATAAAAAGGTTGAGAACCTCTTTTTAGAGTAGCAGAAAAGTCACAATTCAATTAGTATTACGGGGACTTCATTTTAATTTGCAGTTAACAATCTGTGCTATCTATAAGGTAGTGGTTGTGGTATATCATGTATAATACTCCTTGATCAATATAGTCAGTGATGATGTAGTATGTGATGGTGTAGTATATGATGGTGTAGTATGTGACCTTTAAACATCAGTTTAAGCTGCTCCCTATAATAAAGCTCTTCAAGAAATAAAATCTACCCATTTTGCAGAACATTTAATTGGGTAAATGAAAAGATCGCGTTTGCCAGAAACGTTTATATTATCGTTTATATTAAAAACATTTTGTTTGTGACGCAGGTTTGCCTGATCAGTTAAACGAAGCAACAGAGTTGGTTAAAGTGAGTCTCGGTAAAGCATGAGCTCAAGGTTATCTCGCTCTATAACGGAGAATTTCAGCTAATTTCTTATAAAATAGTGACCATGGCAACACCACAATGCTTGAGACTGTATATCCATGGCGATTTAGATTAATCTCAGATTTTTGGGCGAGTTTTACGATACAAAGACAGTAATCGAAATATCAGGGTAAATTAGCTCTACGGCTACCTGAAAATTTGGAAGATTTGATTAAATGAGAAACAGTATTGCACTTATTAGTCACTGTCGATCTATAATGCTCTGACATAAAGGCAATCAACAAAAACAAGTCAAATTTGTGCCATTCTATCCACAAATAGGTTTGTACACTCGGGCCGGGATGGAGGCCAGAATAAATTGAATTTCACCAAAATTAACTCAACAATTAACAATACATTATTATTTATCAACTGCCTAAAACGGGGAGAATTCGGCAGTTTAAACAGTCGTTGAAAAATTGGGGGCAAACTGAAAATTTCATGCAACACATAGTGACAAGATGTTCATTATCATGAGGCTTCAGGTCTTACACATCTCAAACTAGATAAACTGTTTCACTGGTAATCATTAATTAGTATCCTAATTATCCACAACTATGAGAGAACACATGCTACACCTGCAGAAGACAACCACTGCAAGATGAGTGCAAACAAAAATGGTGCCGTTCAATACAAACAAATGCAGAGCCGGAAGTCCAAAACTGTCGACAACAAAAAGGTTAATCTGATGAGGTGGTGGTACCACAACACTTCCACTGTTAAAGAACACGTGACCAACTTCCGGGCTGAGGTTTTAATGAGGTTGCAATTCCAGGTTATATCGGCGTTAAAACGATATAATTATTAACATTAACAACACGGTCATGGTGAAATAACGATTAGAATCTAAACATGTCATACAGTCTTCCATACAACCATCTTTAGGACTGGTAGTCAGGTAGTGGTTCTCACTTCTCATACCAATCATACTTCTATAATCTATACCAATCCTACTCTCCGTCATGGGAGTGGCTGCTACTGGCAGCTTCAGATTGGTGGTTAGCCAGTCAAACTATAGCTAAACGTTTCCTGATATAACTGCATATTACAAAGATATGACAATATGTTAACTAATTAACTACACATAAATACCCACTAAATTACTTAATTAATTGATTAATTACCTAATCACTGAGCGATCAATTTAACGGATAATATACGGCTTAAAGATCGTAGGAAACCTCGACAGGCAATCACTGCAGCTGGAATCAATCCAACCTTTTATTGGGGGGGGGGGGCAACCATATTAAAGTATATTAAAATGTAGGATTTTTCCCGATTTTGACCCGGGGATATACTTTAATATACTTTAATATACCTACAATATACTTTAATATATCCCTATCTCCCTGGAGGCCTACATCAAAAATTGTTGCCCAAAATAAGCTTGAAATGCAAT